AGATCTTGTCTTGTTGGACAAGTTAAGAATAATGTTTAGGAGTCTTATTTAAAGGCCTCCCCCATCTATTGTTTTATTCAGTTGAATTTGAGAATGAATTAAAATTGTTCGTGTTTTTTGAGAGAGTATCCCAAGTTCGAGAGAGTATCTCGTATTTTCCCTTTCGTTCACGTTTTTCCCTACATCATCTTCCCAACCCTTTGTTCGACCAACGGGTCTTCACTTGGAACTCCAAGTCCGTTACGTCCGAGAAACTTCTTAAAGATGAGAACCTCCTTCATTATTGTGGTCTTCTCACCCACAAGACTTGTCCTCATCCTAGTGATGAGATCCTCGATCTTATCCGAATCGAGAATGACCCAGGTAATCTTCGACTATATAGCTCGAGTACTCCGACACCCTTCTGTGTTTGTTTTAGTTATCTTTTGTTAATCTTTCGTTATTCTCTTACAGAGGTGCCCATCTTCAACATTCCCCTGAGGAAGGCTCCTGTGAAGAAAAAGTCAGGGGCTGCCTCTGGCTCGACCGACGATAGAAACGAGAGATCATCCAGTTCTGGTGGGCCTCGACCAGAGCCACAGCGACGATCTCCTCCACAAGGGACTCCACCACCTCCCCCACCGCCATCGAAGGAACAAAAACAACAACACCCACAACAACAGCAACTCCAACCTCAACAACGACAACAGCAGCAACAACAACAACAACAGCAAACACGACCACCTCCTCCACCTCCTTCTGGCAGAACAACACAATAGTATTCTACCTCGGCCGCTGCTGCCAAGTCCTCGAATACCTCCAAATCAGACGATCGTCAAACCAAAACCACCGATCACTAACAGAAAACTGACAGTCGCCACCAAAAAACCAGCGACCGTCACAAAACCGACGACCGCCATCGAACCAACAGTCGTCAAAAGATCGACCATTGGGCTCCCAATCCCAAGGATGCCACTTCTTCTAAAACCACGGACATATCCTATGAACCCAACACTTCGTCCAAAGCTAAAATTCCAGACAAGGCTCCTGTCAACCAACATTCTTCTCAGACCCACTCCGCCAGCTCGACCAAGGCACTGGTCGAGTCTGGCGGTCGAGATGACATGGGGCGTGAGCTGGCTTTGGAGAAACGCTCGCGCACTGATCAAGGTGAAGTGGTCATGAAGCGAGGGCGTACCGGCCATCAATGGCCTAATCCGTTGGCCCCAAAGTCGACATTCCTTTTATCGGCTTCCGTAAATGAGGTGGCCGAGCGCCTCGAGGGTGCCCTCCTCGAGGAAGACCGTAAGAAGGCCAGCGTCACCCTGCCTGAGGTTGGCGATAAGCTTGTGCAGTGGCTTGCCCAGGTATTACTTATCTTATGTTTATGTCGATTCCTTCCTGCTTTTGTTTTTTCGATATATGGATTGAATTACCCTATTTTTCTCGATTACAGGGCTTGGTCGACTTCTTGCCTCTGGCCAAAGAAGCTCGAGATAGCTCTGGCAAGTCCATCAAGAGCCCCGAGAGCAACATTTGCTTTCTGCAGGACAGGAACTCAACTCTCTTGCAGCACAATACCAAACTCCGCGAGACACAGACCAAACAGAAGGCCGAGTTTGAAGTTAAGGTTAAGTCCCTTGATGAAGAGCTCACCTTAAAGAATAAAGTTCTCGCGGAGCGTGAGGCCGCCCTTGCGGTGAAAGAGGTTGCGGTGGCCGAGAAAGAAACCACGCTAAAGATGAAGGAGGTTGCGCTCGAGTGAGAGTGAGCTTCTCGAGTACAGATAGAGACTGCTCGAGCACAAGCCGAGGCTGCTCGAGCACAGGCAGAGACGGTTCGAGCACAGGCGGAGGCTGCCCGACCTGAGCTGGAGGCTACCTTGGCCAAAGAAAGGGCTTCCCACGCTGAAGAGAAGCAGAAAAATGCAAACGCCACTGCCCTTCGAGCTAGGCAGATGCTTTGGGCGACAACAACTGGGAAGCTCTTCCTCCGAGAAAATCGTGCGTAAGTGGTGGCTGACTTTATACAGTCACCACAATTTTTGAACGAGGTTCAAGATTTCGGGGTGGACTGCTTTCAGTTCGCCCTACAGAAGGCCGACTAGCAGATCACCGAGGATGACTTCGAGCAGCTCGACCCCGGGGTTATCTGGGATGCCTTACCAAAGGTTCCCTCTGGTTTTCGTGGGGATCCTACTGTGCCTCTCGAGCATGAGTGGTGGTCAGGGCAGCTCGAAAGAACCTTAGGCCGATCGGAAATTTTGAAGAAGACCTTCGCTCTGCCTGATGATGCTACTCCCCCAGCTGCCATGTTGGTCGCAATGGCTGAATCTATTCGACGACGCCCACTTAATGAGGCCTGCGACTCGACTTCTGGTAACGGCCCTCAGCTCGATCCAAATGCCAGCTCGAGCAACGCCGACTCGACTGCCGCTCCTCCTCCTCCGTAGTGTAGTGTTGTATTTTCCAGTTTCCATTTGTATTTAATTGAATTTCTGTAATATGTGCACTTCTCACGATCTCATGATCTTCTTGAAATGAAAATGTTTTGGTTGATTTATTTCTATCTTTGACGATGCTTGTGATGACCTGTTTTGCTACGCTTGTGTGATTTCTTAGCAAGGTAACTTGAGTGAGCTCATATGCCATTAACGTATTTTCCATCCTTTAACTTGTATTTTTTTGTGTAATTGTGCATTTCGAACACATGCCCACCCCCAAAAGAGTGGTCGTTACATACGACCATCCAACCTCATAGTCTTAATCATGATGGATTTTTCCTTTTTTGAACACATGCCCGCCCTCAAAGGAATGGTCGTTACATGCGACCATCCAGCCTCATGGCCTTAATCATGATAGATTT